TGTCTGTGCCAGTGCTAGGGACAGTGCATAGCTCATAGCAGGTGTTCAATAAATATCAAAGGAATAAATGGATGGATGGATGGATGGATGGATGGACGGATGGATGGAATGGATGGATGGATGATGGATGGATGGATGCATGGATGAAATGGATGGATGGATGGACAGACGGATGGTTGGAATGGATGGATGGATGGAATGGATGAATAAATGGATGGTTGGAATGAATGGATGGATGGATGGATGGATAGATGGAATGGATGGATGGACGGACGGATGGATGGATGGAATGGATGGATGGATGGATGGATGGAATGGATGGATGGATGGATGGATGGATGGAATGGATGGATGGATGGACAGACGAATGGATGGATGGATGGATGGATGGATGGAATGGAAGGGATGGATGGATGGAGGGATGGATGGACAGATGGATGGATGGAATGGATGGATGGATGGATAGATGGAATGGATGGATGGATGGATGGTTGGAATGGATGGAGGGATAGATGGAATGGAAGGAACGGATGGATGGAAGGATGGAAGGATGGATGAATGAATGAAGAGAATGAATGAGTGAATGAATGGGCACTCTGACTGTGCAGCTGAAATGGCCTCAAGGGCAGATTCTGCTTCTAACTCACTCTGTTAAGTCCCTTCCCTTTCCCAACCTTAGTTTCCCATCTGTAAAATGAGGCCATGGAATTAGACATCCTCTAAGCTCCTTCCAACTCTCTCGCCCTTCAGCCATTGGCACGGGGTGAGGAATTCTGAGCTTTTGGACAAACAGACAGTGTGACTTGGATGGTTTTGCTATGATTTGATTCGGGGGCTAGACCCTTCCTATCTCTCCCTCGAGTGAAGAGCAGAGAGGGAGGGGGGCAGGCTGGTGAACTTCTGAAATGTTTAAAGTGATGCTTGTAAGCTGAGTGTGGAGATCTGAAGTCAGATAGTTCAGCGTTTGAATCCGAACTTTGCCTCCTCCTGGCTGTGTGACCTTGGGCAAGTGACTTAACCTCTCTGAACTCAGTTTCCTCATCTATAAATAGGGATTGTAATCATATAACTTGTTGTATTGTGGAAAGGGTTAAATGAGATGACAAGCACTTAGCACAGTGTCTGGCGCTCCATAGCAGGTACTCCCTAAACAGCAGCGGACCCCCCGAGGCCAGCTTCCTTCTCCCCCATTGCCTGTGAGATTGGTTCCCAGGAAATCTTACAGCCAAACCAAGACGAGGAGTGACAGAGAAAATTGTGAAGTCAGTTCTGCCAGACTCTTCACTGCTCACAATGAGAGAGTCCCTCCCTCCCAGGCTATCTGCGTATAAGCTGTTAAACATGACCAGGGTTGTGGGAGAGAGGGAGGGGAGGTGTCATCACAGCGGACTTCACAGAGGAGGTGGTATTTGAGGTGTATCTCAGAGAATGAGACAGAACGATAGCTGAACCACACGACCATCCCTCAGACAAAAGGGAAGTGCCAGATGCCAAACCATGGCCCTGGGCAAGGCAGGTTTAGTGGGTCAGCCACGAGATGGGTCCACGTTCCCCAAGGCCGCCCAGGTTCAGTGGTTTACTAGGTGGCCTCACGGGACACAGCGCATGGCCAGACTTACGGCTATGATCTATGGCAGCGAAAGGACTCAAAGCAAAATCAGCAAAGGCAGCTGGGGCGAAGTCCAGAGGAAACCAGGTGCCTCTTCCCAGAGTCCTCTCCCAGCGGAGTCACGCAGGACACGCTCCCATGACTTAGGGTGGGGAGCCCGCCCCGAGGCCGAGCTCCCAGATACCAGCCAAGGATCAACTTTGCAAGCAAGACTTTCCCTTCCTTCCTTCCTTCCTTCCTTCCTTCCTTCCTTCCTTCCTTCCTTTCTTTCTCTTTCTTCCTTTCTCTCTTTCTTTCTCTTCCTTCCTTCCTCTCTCTCTCTCTCTCTCTCTTTTTCTTTCAAGAGAATCTCACTCTGTCACCAGGCTGGAGTGCAGTGGCATGATCTTGGCTCACTGCAACCTCTGCCTCCCAGGTTCAGGCAATTCTTCTGCCTCAACCTCCCAAGTAGCTGGGATTAAAGGAGCCCGCCACCACGCCTGGCTAATTTTTGTATTTTCAGTAGAGATGAGGTTTCACCATGTGGGCCAGGCTGGTCTCACTTTCCTGCAAGCAGGGCATTCTAAAGACAGCAGTCTCTGGCCTGCAGTGTGAAGCTTCTCTGCGCAGGGAATTACACCTTTCTCCACATTTCTAATTTTAAAATGACAGAGGACGTGGTTCGTTGTGCCTCAGGCCCAAAGCAGTTAAGAAAAATCTAGTTGGTCCAGAACGATGGCTCACACCTGTAATCCCAGCACTTTGGGAGGCTGAGGTGGGCAGATCACAAGGCCAGGAGTTTGAGACCAGCCTGAACAACATAGTCAAACCCTGTCTCTACTAAAAAAAATACAAAAAATTAGCTGGGTATGGTGGTGGGCACCTGTAATCCCAGCTACTTGGGAGGCTGAGGCGAGAGAATGGTTTGAACCCAGGAGGCAGAGGTTGCAGTGAGCCAAGATCGCGCCACGGCACTCCAGCCCAGGTGAAAGCAAGGTCCTGTAAAAAAAAAAAAAAAGAAAAGGAAAGAAAAATCTAGTTTACCATGGAAATAATTGTAACAAGTTTTCCAGAAGATAACCGTGAGTTATACAAGGTTGGGGGAAGCGCTGGGGAGAAGCAGCGGTGGGGTGGGGTTCAAAAGTCCTGAGCACACTAGACTGGGACTTCATAGGCCTGGCTTCTGGGCCTGAATTGGCACTCACTCAAGTTCCAACTTGGTCAAGTGTTTCCCGGAAATATGCCTCAGTTTTCCGTCCGAGGAAATGACAGCATTGGATTTCTTCTGTATCAGCAAGCTTTGGCTGCATAACGAAGCACCCCAAAAGTTGTTGACTTAAACAACAAAAATGAATTATTTCCCACAGGGCTATGGGTCAGCAGTTTGGGTGAGACTCAGCTGAATGGTTCTTCTTCTGGTGTCCTGTGGCCTCCCTGGTAAGGCAGCAACCAGGGCGCAGCCAGGACAGCCCAGCCTGCTTCCCTGTGGTCCTCCCTCTTCCAACAGGCTAGCCCAGGCTTGTTCTCATGGCAGCCGGACAGGGGGCTGACAGCAAGGGCAGGAGCTGCAAGGCCTTTTAAGGCTCAGCCTCGGCCAGGTGCAGTGGCTCATGCCTGTAATCTCAGCACTTTGGGAGGCTGAGGCAGGCGGATCATGAGGTCAGGAGTTCAAGACCAGCCTGACCCACATGGTGAAACCCCATGTCTACTAAAAATACAAAAATTAGCCAGGCGTGGTGGTGGGCACCTTCAATCCCAGCTACTCGGGAGGCTGAGGCAGGAGAATTGCTTGAACCTGGGAGGCGGAGGTTGCAGTGAGCCGAGATCACGCCACTGCACTCCAGCCTGGGCGACAGAGCGAGAATCCATCTCAAAAAAAAAAAAAAAGCTCAGCCTTGAACATCACAGAACATCATTTCTGCCACATGCCATTGGTCAAAGAGACGCCGAAGGCCAGCTCAGCTTCCAAGGAAGGAGAAATAGACTTCGCCCCTTGACCACAGGGGAGGCGGCATAGTGAAAGGAGATGAACTTGTAGCTAGCGTTCACATCCATCACATGATCTCCACCATGTTCCCTTCATTCATTCATTCATTTGTTCATTCATTTCACACTTGCACACCCTCTATGTCATCAACACTTTACCAGATACCAGAGCACAAAAGGTAACCTTGCCCTCATGTGGCCTGCAGAGTCATGGCGAAACAGATAAATAAACCTTCATGTGCCATGAAGTTACAGGGAATTCACATTTATTTCATAGCTGTTTTTTTAAAGCACAGCTTCTTCTAGAAAGGATTTGAACCAACCTGCCCGAAAAGGCACAAGCAATAAAATGATGAATTTTAACCAAAGAAGAAAATTGAAGTAAAAGGAGAAAGTGTTTATTGAGCACCTACTATGTCCTGAGCATCTCCGACACATCCTCTCACTCCATTGTTTCCAAATCCCCGAGTTAGTGTTATTCCCCTTTCATAGATAAGCAGGCCAGGGGCAGTGGCTCACGCCTGTAATCCTAGCATTTTGGGAGGCCACGGCAGGTGGATCATGAGGTCAGGAAATCGACACCATCCTGGCTAACATGTTGAAACACTGTCTCTACTAAAAATATAAAAAATTAGCAGGGTGTGGTGGCATGCACGTGTAATCCCAGCTACTCAGGAGGCTGAGGCAGACGAATCGCTTGAACCTGGAAGGCGGAGGTTGCAGTGAGCCAAGATTGCACCACTGCACTCCGGCCTCGGCAACAGAGCGAGACTCCATCTCAAAAAATAGATGATTGATCAATCGATAGATAGATAGATAGACAGATAAGCAAAGTGAGGCTGACTAGCCCAAGTCCACATGAATCCTGAGGGGCGGAGCTGAGAGTCTGACAGCTGAGTCAGGCCCCAAAGATCATACGACATCACAGAATAGCTGTTGATGAGCTTTGGATTTGATGATGAGCCTCCCAGCAGACTGGGGAGAAGGAAAACAGAACATGTTACCCGATTGCTCACTAGACAAGAAAAAACCAGGTATTTCTTTGAAAGGAAGCAAAGCCCCTTCCTACCACTGAATTCATTTGTCTTTTCTTGAGTGGGAGTTGGAAGACAGCTTGTGAGATGGAACCTACTAGGTGTGCCCAAGTTGCTTGCTCCTATGGCATCTATGTGAGGAGGCTGCCAGGTAAATGCCCCAGTCCCCTGAAGGAGGGTTCGCCCTCAGTGAACGTCGTCCGCCGTGTCTGTGTGTGTGTGCATGTGCGCGTGTGCATGTGTGGGTGTGCGCGTGTGCATGTGTGTTCACACGTGCCCGGGCACGTGTGTGTGCATATGTGTCTGTGTTTTTCTGTCTCACTTTCTCTTTTTTATCTGACCCTCCCCTCACTGCATCTGCTTTGTTTGTTTGTTTTTTCCACCTCTGTTCCTCCCTGGCGGAGGTCCCTGCTGTTCGAAACTCTGCCAGTTTTTAGGAAGTGCTGCTGTGTCAGAGCCTGCACACGAGACCCCAGTGGGCCAGGACTGACTTCCTCCCCACACAGAGCTGGGCGGGGCAAGCAGGAAGGGGCCTGTTACAGTCAAGGTGACGCATCCTTGCCAGGCCAGCCCGAGCAGCAGCTGGGTCCACAAGCGACAGGAGCACGGGTCCTCTTTCCCCCAGGGGTGTCGGAATGGACCTGTGCCACCACGGTAAGCACCTGGGCTCGACCTCTCTGGGCCTCAGCGTTCTGTCTTTTGGAATGGGGGCAGCGGCCCCTGCCTCACAGGGTCCTAGATAAGGGGGTACGGCACAGGCAGAAATGCAGCTGCAAGAAGCAAACATTTGCAGGCTCAGCCGAGGTGTCCAGTTGTGTTCCAGAGGCTGGGCACACAGCAGTGAGCAAAGGGACGCTGTGCCCACCCTCACGGGCTTATGCCCTAGAGGTCATGTCACATGTCCGTTGATGGCAGGTAGGATGAACTGTAAAGCAGGACCAGGAAGAAGGGAGGGCGTGGGGGAAAAGGCCCCCAAGAGGAGATGCTGTCTAATGAGGGATCCCATATAATGAGGCAGATGTCAGCTAAGGAGGTTTCTAAGGAACAGACATTCCAGCCGGAAGGCACAGCCGGTGCAAAGGCTCAGAGGTGGACTGGGAAAAGCGCTCTGAGATTAAGACGATGATGTGATGTTGGTGATGGCAATGTTTGTCTGGGTGATACACGGCTCCTTCTTGGCCCTCTGGGGTTGGGGTGGTCTCTGGGGAGGCTGAGGACACTGCCTAGAGCCAGGGGAGGGCCAGGAGGGAGCCACAGAGGGCCTGACTGAAATCCTCCCTGGCTGCTATGACAATGTGTCTGGGGAGAAAGGAGGCTGCAACGTTGGAGGGGAAAGAACAGGCAGGGTTGTGTTTTGGGAGGCCAATGGGAGGCCCGGAAGAGGGGCCAAGTTTCTGCAGCCTGGATGGCAGCGTGCTCCAGAGCTGCAACTGTTCTGCTGGAATTCCAGAACGTAAGGGCCGGTGGGAGCTGCCTGCTCCCCAGGTCCAGGGAACTCCACCTCATCCAGGAGCACCCTTGCTTCAGACACACCTAATGTGGAGCATCTGGGCCCCACCCACTCCAGCCCCAGATGGACGCCTTGGGCTGCAGGGAACACGGTTAGGGAACCATTGATCCATTTCAACAGCCCCCAGTGGCAGAAGGGAGAAAAGAGATCAAGGGAGGAAAACAGCCTCTCTAAGGCAGGGAGGGAGCCGAACTCTGTCCACTGACTCGCTCTCTGACCCCTGCCTCTCCTGTGGGCTTTGGGGGCTCCCACAATCACAACGCAGTGAGCACAGCTGGCAGGGCACCTGGCAGGCACAGGGAGACCCCGAGAGGGGCAGCTGGCTCAGGCCTCAGCAGATGTGAGGGTGGGACGAGGCAGAGAGGGTACCCACTGAGATGCAAGCCCAGCGGGGTGCTTTGTCCTTTGGGGTCCTAACATACTGAGGTTACAGGGGTGGCTCTCTCCATGGTGCAGATACAGAAACTGAGGCCCCAGAGGTGAACTGGAGGCAAGGACTGACATGCTTGACATCACACGGCCAGTCCGTGGCAGAGCAGGGATGAGAACCTGAGGGAGAAAGCCCCAGGTTGGCCGGGGCTGTGCAGAGGGCAGAGGAAGGGCCTCGGGGGCCAGAAGGGGCGTCTCTGCTTTGCTTCAGCCGGTACTAGGGAGGAAATGGATTAAATGGAGTCAGTGCAGCAAACACTGGTTCTCCACTGAGTGATTGGTCTTTTCGTTCATTCACTCTGTAACTGATGTTCCTGTGTGCCATGCAGTGCTGGGGACAGCAGTGACCTGGCCATGGGCCTAACCCTGGGGGACAGGTGTGAGACTGAATGTTGGGGGTGGGGTGGAGAGGCAGGAGACAGATTCTGCAGGACCCTGACCCAGCTGTGCAAATGGACACAGACCTAGAGATAAGAGAAAGCACTTTTCTCACTGGGGCAGAGGAGATCTGGGAAGACCCCCTGGAGGAGTAGGCCAGGGGGAGGGAGGAAAGGTCATTTCCCTGTTGCCCAGAGTGGGTCTTAATTGAGGCTTCTCCATGGCCCGGTGACTTCCCCTCTCTGAGTTCTGATTATTCGTCATCTCAATGTGGGTCCCCTCATCCTGGCCTGCCTGGGGAAGCGGGGACCGGGAGTTAGCCGGATCTCGCTGGGGTTCCAGGTCTGCACCATCCTGCCAGTGGTCATGACCAATCTCTTCCTCCTGTGGGGCCTCAGTTTCCCACCAGGGCTGCCTCCCCCGCTCTCCTGCGGTGGGCCTGTGTCCGGAAGCAGGTGAGGCGTCCCCCCACCCCCCGCCAGGGCCTGCCGGGGAGGTGAGAGGGCCGGGCAGCACAGACGAGCACCGCGCTGGTGCAGAGAAGACAGGCCAGGCAGGCGCTGCAAAAACAGAGGCAGCTGGGCTGGGGGAGAGGAAGCCGCACTCCGCAGAGCCTGTGGGGCGTGTGGGGCTGGGGCGGGGAGCAGCTCCGCCCACACCCCCTCTGCCGCAGGGTCCCTCCCACTGAGACTTTAGGGCCCTGAGATGGTGTCCTCCTCCTGCCTGGAAAGGGGAAGTGAGGCCAGCTGTCCTGGAAGCAGGGCTGCAAGCTCAAAATTTCTAAAAATACGACGGGAAAGAGGAAGGGCAAAGGGGAAGTGAGGAGGAGCCGGGGAGATGGGCACCCTCGCCGGCCTGGGTGCAAGGGCAGCCCCAGCCTGGGGGCTTGGGGTGGGAGTCCGAGGGGTGCCTTGCGAGGTTGCAAGAAGCACAGAGATAAATGAGGAGGAGACGGGGTCGGCGGTGGTGGCGGCGAGAGCAATTTTATTGTTTTTGTGTGTTAGTAGCAGTTTTAAACATACCTCTCCCAGCCAGGCGCGGTGGCTCACGCCTGTAATCCCAGCACTTTGGGAGGCTGAGGCTGGTGGATCACCTGAGGTCAGGAGTTTGAGACCAGCCTGGCCAACATGGTGAAACCCCGTCTCTACTGAAAATACAAAAAAAAATTAGCCAGGCATGGTGATGGGAGCCTGTAATCCCAGCTACTCAGGAGGCTGAGGCAGGAGAATCGCTTGAACCCGGGAGGCGGAGGTTTCAGGGAGCGGAGATTGTTACGCTGCACTCCAGCCTGGGTGACAGAGCAAAACTCCGTCTCAAAAAAAGAAAGAAGAACAAAAGAAAGAAAGAGAAAGAATAATACGTCTCCCATGAGCCTACACCAGTGCCTGAAACTCCGTTCTCATCAGGCTTAGAATCAGAAGTGGCCTCTCTCAGGCTGTGTCCTAGAGGCCCTCCCTGAACCTCAATGTCCTAAACTCTGAAATGGGGAGAAATCGCCACTTTTTAACAAATAGGGGAAGGGTGAGAAGGCTCCATGTGCACCATGTCAGGATACAGCAGGCCTGGGGCCATCCGCGCCGTCATGTGGGTTCAGATGTTTGGACCGGTTGCCACCTGCTAGGGACAGGACCCCGTCAGAAGCGGACAGGGGACTGAGGATTCACAAACACACTGTCACCCACAAAGGAGTACGAAAGGAGTGGTGTGGGGTAAAGACGCAAGCAACCTGCCCACTATCCCCATGCAATCCCACTCCCCTGGGAACCGTGCCTCAGTTTCCCCAGCTCTACAATGTTTGCTTTGCAAGAGCAGGGTGGGGGCGATTGCAGGCATCATTCTGCATCTTGTCTTTATTCTCAAACATATACCCCTGTCAGAAACCCAGGTTTAGCGTCCGATAGGTGTTTGACGATTCATATGGACTGATCAGGCTTTGGAGGCTCTACCTCAGGGCTGTGGCCTCTGAGCCCCAGATGGGCCCTGATGTGAATCCCAGCCCTGCCACCCTCCAGCTGTGTCACATTCGGCAGGACACTTTGCCTCTCTGAGTCTCAGGGGCCTCGCCTGTAGTACGAGCCTGGAAATACCTTCCTGTCCGAGTGGTCGTGGGATTCAATGGGAGAGTGGATGGGAAGAGCCGGAGAAGGCAGGGCCTGGCACACCGCAGATGCTCGGCCGGCATGCCTTCCTTAACCAAGGGCGTGGCTTGGTTATGGAGCCATGCAGATCCCAGAAATGCTGTGGCGAATGGCAAGGGGTGGGGGTGGGGATGGCTCCTAGACAGAACCCGGGAAGACCCCTGAAAGGGGATCTGGAGTAGGAGATAAGGAGGAGCTGCTGGCAGAGGAGAAGGAAGGGCATTCTGGGCGCAAGGAACGGTGGCGCAAAGGCTTTGGGAAAGTGTTGGAAACAGATGCTGGAAATAGATGCTCGGTGCCACAAAGAAAATCAGCACCGAGGCAAAGGATCTTTCAGCAACACAATGTTTCCTTCCTGAGCTGCAGGAAGGGGACCCTCACTAGCCATCGTGCCACGAGAGTACAAAGAACAAAGGAAAACACACAAATGTATCCCTTACGCATCTGGGGTGGTCCTCACTGCTGCGTCTGATCTCCGTTGGCTGGAGCCAGACCTCGCAATCTAAACTAAAACCCGACTGGCTAGCAACTTAAAACTTTTCTAAACAGGTAAAGGCCATGGAGAGCTGGGACATGCCTGTGAGCACATCCAGCACAGATATCTTGGTTAAAGTACAAGGACACAGAATGTACTACGTGCCTGTAAGCACGGCCTGTCTATCAGCTACATAGGATAGCGCTTCACAAAGTCATTAGCACAGGTTAAAAAGGAATTTTTCTACTTCCCCACAGAAGGTGAGAGCTCAGGAGAATGAAGGAAGGGCAGCCAGGGACACTGAGCATGGAGCTGGGGCGGGGGAGGGGCGCAGTGTGAAAGGAGCTCGGAGGGGACACACCAGCGGGACTGGGGGGATTTTGGGTCTTTGTCCCCAGGACAATGGGATGGTGTGCGAAACTGGACCAGAATGGGTAGGAGAGGCAGGGAAGTATCCGAAGGCCCTGAAGTCCCCCCGAGCAAAGTGACAGTGGCCAGGACGACGGTGGGGCCACGGAAGGGGAATGAAATAGACAGGACTTGGTGATGGAGGAGATCCAAGGGGTGAGAGCCAGGTGGGTGTCGGCTGCCTCCTGGGGAACTGTGGATCATTTCCAGGGCTCAGGAATTCAGGGAGAGGATGGGGAGGAGGGGCCATTCTAGAAGTTCAATCTGGCACAATGACAAGAGCGGTGGTGATCAGGCGGACGGTCGGAACTGAAGC